CACCAAGGAACCAGAGTCTGAGTGGGCATTCAGAGAAGTAACTTTTCACTTCCCACCCAGCAGGGCTTACATGCAGAGGTGGTCTCGGACGTCGTGAGAAACCCCCAGCTGACCATGACCTTCCCTGGGATGCTTCCGATTCAGGGAGGAGGGAAGAGAATTAAGGCGACGACGAACACCTGGCCCACTTGGTAAGTGAAATGGCACAGCAGGGAAGGACACTTTCGACTTCTCCCCCACACCGAGGGTGCGCGCCTGGAGTTCCACAGACTCTCACTGAGCCCTGCGGCGCGTCCGAACTGCAGGCCCTGAAGCACACGCCAGCACAGAGAACACATGGGAAGGCACACACGACGGGAGCTGTCACCACCCCCGAACCCGCCCTGGTGCAGAGGGGCTGGGCCGACTCCCAGCTCGGTCCTGCCTGTGGCCCCGGGCAAGAGCCTGCCCGCGCTCCTCCGGAACAGACCAAAGAACACTGCCCTCAGCGCCAGCACCAGCGACTCGGCGAGGGCACGCCGGGGGAGGCCGAGGCCAGTCCGGCACAGCACTGCCTCTGCTCCTGGGACAGTCTTGGGGCGGGGGCAGGGGCCCTCGGCTCAGCCTTTCAGGCTGGTGGCCTTGGGGGGAGACACCAGGACACACCCTGCTCGCCTCCCTGGCAGGGATGCTGAGAGGACAGGCCAGTCAGAGCGCTGCGGGGCTGCAGAGCCACCCTGCCGTGACCCGGGACACGGGGGGCAGAAGCAGCGTGTACCCCACACCACTCTGCCTGTGACGTCCCTGTCCTTTTCCCAGGCTTAAACACACTCCCCCTTTTCTTGGCTAACTTCACCTCTTTATTTTTCTCTTATGCTTTAACACGAGTAACACTGCCTTGAAAAAAATTTAGGAGTTTAGCTTTCGTGCAAGGCAGGAATCATGATCAGGAACCTGGGCAGACTCTGTACCCAAGGTCAAGGGCAGACCAAGGAACCCTGGCAGGCAGACTTTGCACAAAGGTGCACCCCTCTCCCCCCTGGTTACTTTGGTTAGGCTCCGCGCCTCAGGGGCACCGAAAAAGCACCCTCACGCAGAGGGTCCCCGCAGGTGCGCTCTGCAGGCGCACTTCTGCGGAGCCGCCTCACAGACACGCAGCGATGGGCACAGGACACGCAGGTGCCTGCAGGTGTCTGCGCAACGATCCCGAGTGGCCGCACCGCACCGCTCAGCGAGGGGGTCATCGGCCCGATCTTCCGAAGGGCCCTGGGTTCCTCCTGGTCCTCCCGGAAACACTCCTCCTGCCCGAGTCCGGGAGGGAGGACAACCCCAGGAGTCGTCCTCGCTGGCGTGCAGCGACCACCCGCAGCGCAGGCGCGGCCTCGGTCCAGGGGCCCACGCACGCGTGGGCAGGTCTGACCAGTAGGGCCGGCTGAGCCCCAGGATGGAGCGCGGCCCGAAGTGACTCCACGGCTTTCCCGTCCGCCCTCCTCTCGGTTTTCACCGGCTCTAACTGGTGACCCAGGAGCACTCGTGGGAAAACGAACTCTTCTAACATCAGACCCCCGCTTCGCAGGGAGAGCGGGTTCACCGGACGGAGCCCCCTGCTGCCATGGCTCCCCAGCGGCCTTCCAGAGGCAGACTCAGACCACAGACCACAGACCACAGACCGTGCTAAGGACCAGAACCAGATCAGGGCAGGGGAACACATTTCTGGAGGCCCGACAGCAGCCAGCTGGGAAAGGGTCAGACAGCTCTCCTCCTCTGGCCACTACTGTCTTCGGGGCGTGGCTGCTCCTGCCTGGAGCTCCCCACACCCGCCGAGCCACCCAGCAGAGGCACCCAGCAGAGGTACCCAGCAGAGGCAAGGCTGCGTGACGCCCATTTTACTATTCCTGAGAGGCCACTAAAACATCCAAGCCCCAGTCCAGAGCAGGGCCCTCGAACTGCGGGCCCAGGGCCCGCTCTGGCCTGCCCCTGCTTCTGTACATACGGCTTTGCCAGGGCACCCTCGGCCCTTTGTTTGCTGTCCGGGGCTGCGTCGGTCACAGCCAGAAATAGTGGCTGCCCCGAAACCGGACACACCGTCCGTCCCCACCTAGAGCCGTGCTGGCCAACACAGCGGCCCCGGGCTTGTGCCCGTTTACATGGAAAATAAAATGCAATTTAAAATTCAATCGCCCAGTTGCACTAGCCACACTTTTAGGTGCTTGACAGTCACAGGTGGCCCGGGGCCACGGCAGTGGACGGACGCACCAGGGACAGTCCCGCGGCCGCAGACAGTCCTCCCGGATGGCGCTGGGAGTGGGGGGTTTACGTCATCAGGCTAAATTCCCAGCCACCGAGTTCCAGGCTCCTTCCTCCTTCGGCAGGCAAAAGTTCACCCCAAGTTTCAACGGCACGTCCCTGTCACACCTGAACCCTTCAGCACACGGTGCTCCCTCACCGTGTGAGTGGAAAACTCAAGGTCACACTGTCTGATAGAAGGGAGCTATCCAGCACTGCAGTAGGAACTGCTAATCAGTGCCGCGATAGCATTCATCTGCCTACTTGGCCCCGCCCCCTGGTGGGGGGAGGGGCCGGGGGACCATAACCTCTGGGAAAGCTGGGCCATCTGACATTCTCGGCTAGGACCCTCCTGGGCACACAGAGGTAGGCCCGGGACACGCACTTCTGTGACAACTGAAGAGGCGGGCCCTGGGCACGACACTGTCATACGAAGGAGGCGACCGAGACAGACGGGCGTTGATAAGCGGCAGAAAAAAACACTGTCAATCCTGTAGTAAAGGTTCGACAAACGGCCCCAATTTCCACTCAAAAAATAGGTATTTTTTAAAGGTCCAACAAAGCCACGCAACTCAGACCCTGGTTTGGGTCCTGGCCCTGCCGCTCACAGGTCGTGTCGCCCCGGGCAGGCTCTCCTCCCTCCCCGAAGAAGACCCTCTCCCCCTGCGCGGGAGCTCTGCAGGGCCCCGGTGGGGGAACCTCCGCGCTGGCCCTCGGCTCTGGCCCGGCATCAGGCCACCAGCCAGCCCCCTGGCGCACCTGCCCCGAGCCGGCCCCCCCCACCCCATGTCTCTGCTGCAGCAGGCCCCCGCGGGGTCTCCCCACCGAACCCCGGCCCCTGTGTGCAGTGAGCCTCAGCCCTGGGCTCACAGCAGAGCCGCTAACCAGATGTGAAATTGACCAAGACTCTAACAGCCAATATAAATAAAACATTCTGCTAAACCTCTCATGAACATGCTTTCTCTTAAAAAAAGTCCTTATGAGCAAATCAAGTATTCTTCGAGTTTTGAAATTAGAAAAGTGTCCCTATCGTTTGAATTAGAAATTAGTTTTAGGTCCCTAAAGGTTACCCCTTCTGAGCACCTCCAGCCTCATCCGGGTTAAGGCGCTTCTCCCCTCTCCCTCCGTGGGCAGAGGGCGACCCACCAACCCAACCCCCCACCAAAAGCAGAAAGCACAAGCCGGCCACAGCAAGGTCTTGGAATTAAAAAAAAAAAATTAATACTGTGGTATAAGATGTAAAATCAAATGACTTCATTTCAGAATGAATTCATAGTTAAAAATAACTGGGACAGTGAGTGTCTAATAAAAGCAGAAAATCCACAAACCCTTGTCTATTACTTATGATACCTTAAGAGTATAAAAATAAGACATTTTATACACAACACAATCATCTTATTGCTCAGTAGTCAGTGTTTCGGAACTAGCTTTAGAAATCCAAGCCCGATTTTGTATTTGTTTCTGCCCGTGTGGTTCCCATGGCTGAGCCCCCGACACGCCAGGCCCAGGCAGCACTGGCTTTCCTGGGCGCACCGCGCACCCGCGAGCACTCGGCCCGCCCTGCTGGCTGGTCACTGTGGACACCGGGGTCCGTCAGCTTCCGTGAAGAGGTGCGGAGAGAAGAGCGACCCCCATTTATTCCAGCGGAGGGGGACTTCCTGTGCGCGTCCCGTCCCTGGGTCCACCCAGGGATCCGAGAGCCCCTGCCCGGCGTTCCCACCTCCCCTGGACATGGGCCCGGCCTCCCTTGGGTGGGCTTCAAAGGAGACCGACCGGCCAGACCGTCTTGCTAAGGTGCAGCTGTGGGATCAATTTTTTAAGTACTTGGAGGACGCTTAACACCCATTTTCTATGTCATCCAATTCTTAACAAAATTTGCTTAACAAGTATTTTAAAATGCTAAGAATAAGTATACTACCACCCTCATTTTAATGTTACTATTATGAATTACTACAGTAAGTGCCTTTTAAGCTAACCTTGTGTTTTTAAGCCAGATTTTGTATAAACTATAAGAGGTGAAGTGTAATTATTAAAAGTAATCTATATGCACATAGAAAACTTGTTGGCATGCTCAATTTTAAAGTCAAATGGCAATACAGGCCCAATTTAAATGCAAACTATTTCCTTAGGAGTGCATGGAAGCACTAACATTTCAGAAATCATGACCCGCAATGGATTTGAACGTTTCACAGCACCAGCCTGTGTCTCTTTCAGGCTCCGCAGTGAGAATGAAAACAGTCCTTTTAAAGGAAGTTTTTTCCTAATGGTTTCCGCACATTTTCTGGCTGCGACTTATCTCCAGCCCAGAGACGTGCCCCCGGTGCAGCCGGTGCGGTGTGAGGCGACACAGATGCAACAGAAACTCCGCGGACAGGCAACTTGGCCCGGCGCGGCCGCCCGCCTCTCCCTCCTCCCCCCACCCAACACCTTCCCCGGCGGTGACTTCACATCCTTTGACATCAGCACAGCTCGGAGGAGGGGGATGGGAGCGCGAGCCGAAAGCAGAAAAACCAGCTTTGAACTGTGCATGCAAGGCCTCTCTCAAGACTCAAATTCCGTGAGTAGTTCATAAAATACCAAACTGCAGGACACGCCCAGCCTCCCGTGGCTAAGTCTGCACCGAAACTCGAGAATTCTGCTGGAAAGCACTTCCTGCTTGCCTTATCTGAAGCACAATAGCCATTTATTAACTAGCCACGGCAGGCTCCGACTCAGGGAGACGCACAATAACTTACCTCGAATATGGAGAAGGGCCACAGGCTGGAAAGGCCCATTGGAGTTGGCCGCATCCACCACCATCCTGCCCCCCGCTTTATTACATGTCAACATCTAGACTCGGCGGGGAAGGCAATGGGCTCCTTAAGGCAAGAAAGCAGCCTCCATTTTAGTTTAAAAAAAAAAGACAAACTGAAGCTCTGCAGCTGGAGGGAACTGGCTGCCGCGTGATGTCAGCAGGCAGGGAGCCCGCTGATTGGCCGGAAGCTGCAACTTAAAATGACACTAAAAAAAACTGCAAATGGAAAGAGCCTTCTGTTTGGCTGTCAGCGTGCACGGGAAGCCTGGGCATTTCGGCTTTCTGCGGCGATCGTTTCTCAGTAACTTTCAGGCACCAGCTCATCTCCCGGGGGCAGGGCTGAGGCCCCAGTCCCGGCCAGACTGCGAACAGATGATTCTGAGCGCTGCCCCTGCTCCCCCGCGGCGAGTGTGGGCACGCCGCCGGAACCTGAAATTTCAGCAGTCCCCTCGCTGGCACCAGAGTCGATGGTATTTTAGACTTACCTGGCTGCCTTTGATTTTCTGGTTGTAATGACTTTGGTGTCTGTATCTTATTTAGCATTTTGGCAATGTGGTGTTTTTTTTGTTGTTGTTAAGCAAATGACTATTCAAATATGACACAGTCCCAATTACTAGGGTTAGACTCTTGTCAGCCTCTCCTACCACCGGGTAATACACTTATGACCCTCACACACTGGTTCTTCTTGAGATCTAATTTATGGGAAAATTCATTAAACTTAAAATAACTTAAAAATTATATGAAAAATAAAAGCTTCTTTAAATTTAATGGCCAGAAAGTTTTAAAGTCATAAAATAAAATTCAGTGTTTATTTTTGTATTTCAAAGATGTCAACATATCAGATACTTTTATATCTTAGACATTTCATTTAGAAGTTTTAAATTAAAAATGTATTTCAATTATTTTTATGGGGCTAGTATTAAAAGCTATGATTCAGATCTTAATTTCCTACCTGTAAAAAAAGCTTAATAAAAGCCTTAGCTGGTGTGGCTCAGTGGACTGAGTACCGGCCTGCAAACCAAAGGGTCACTGGTTCGATTCCCGGTCAGGGCACAAGCCTGGATGGCAGGCCAGGTCCCCAGTAGGGGGTGTATGTGAGGCAACCACACGTTGTTCTTTTCCTCTTTTTCTCCCTCCCTTTCCTTTTCTCTAAAAATAAATAAATAAAATCTAAAAAAAAATAAATAAAGGTTAATGAAGAAGCTGTTCCAAGGAGAAAGAGATCATTTCCGAACTGGAGTATCTGGTGGGAGGAGAGGGGTGGGCTGGACAGAAGCCTTACAGAAAGAAATGTTACTGTGAGCGCCAAATGAAGACAAGTAAACTCGAAGAGCAATCTCTCTGGCAGGCAGAACTGAAGAAATTCATCACTTCCTCACACGTGCAACTAAGTTTGTCTGAACCGTGTTTCTCTTTTCACAATTTCTCCCACAACTCCCCCCACCCCACCCCTGCACTTGTTCAGTTATTAACAAGACAAAAACCCTGTGGTTCCTAAACATACTTCACAGCGGGGAGGAGCACCTGGAACAAGACTCGGGCTAGCGGCCACACCTGTGGGGGCAGGCTCCCGTTTCACCGTGCCACGGTTCAGGGGTGCTTGTGAAGGCCCCACTCACTAGGAAGGATGCACTTTTAACTATGCGTATCAACGGCCATTAAAAATCAAACAAGTGAAGGAGAGCACACCAAATCCCACCCTGCCCCCTCCTTCCGCAGAGCTGAGAGGCCGTGGAGCCCACAGCTGGCCGTGGCATTACAACGAGCACGTGGGGGGTGGGCGCCCCTGCGGGGCCCTCGCACCTGCCTGGCTCCTCTGCCATCCGAACAGCAGACGTGGCCCGACAAACACAGCGTGCGCGTGGAGTGTGGAGTCAGGGGATGGGAGCTCGGACTCTGGCCGCTGACCCCTAATGGGCTCCTCAGAGGCGGGTGAGACGGCTCCCGGGACTCCCCGCCCACCCAGGGAGCGCGGCCAGGTGAACTGGGACCGAAGCGCGTGGGGAACGAGGCTGGAGGGGCCTGGTCCCTGGTCGCAGGCCCAGAAGCACATGCTCACTGCAGGTCTGTACTTGAACATAGAGACCTGCCCTCAAACCCTTCCATTTTTCACCTGAGACGAGCTGGAAACTCTCCCAGATTGTGCTGATGAACCGGAATGCGGAAGCAGGCCAAGAAGCTCCGAGGGAGAATCTTTATACGAAACCCAGCCTGGAAGTAAAGAACAGTGAGGGCGCTTGCTGGTGCATTTTTCCTAACGGTCCCAGGCCAAAGGGTCTCCACTTCCTCAGTGGCTACTGCCCAGGCTCTTCAGAAGCCGGACGCATATAGAGAAGCTCTTTAAAGGATGGACAGACTGTGATCTGGAAATCACCCACGAGCACACTCTAAAATAGAAGCAAACAGATCAATAATATGGAGAAGGAAAAAACCCTTGAACAAGTACAGATACGGTGTGTTTCTGAACTGGAAGCATAAATCCTATAAGCAGGCTGGTGTGGATTCTTCCCCAAACTGGTTTACAGTCAAAAACCACCTCTGTCTCTTCATTTTTCTGAGTACTTCACAAAACACTCCTAAAATTCAGCAGGAAAAATAAGAAAAAGGATGAGAACACTTCTGATGAAAACAGGCCGGTCCTATCAAATACAAAGCATCCGAACTAATGACAGTGTGACGTACTTAGGGGCAGGCTCACGGGACAGAAGCATTAGCCCCCCAAACAGTAGACAGATTTGCACAAGTATATTATTATGATAAAGAATGAATCTCAGCCCTGGCTGGCGTAGCTCAGTGGATTGAATGCGGGCTGCGAACCAAAGCGTCACAGGTTCGATTCCCAGTCAGGGCACATGCCTGGGTTGCAGGCCATGACCCCCAGCAACCCCACATTGATGTTTCTCTCTCTCTCTCTCTCTCTCTCTCTCTCTCTCTCTCTCTCTCTCTAAAAATAAATAAATAAAATCTTAAAAAAAAAGAATGAATCTCAAATCAAAGGGAAGGGAAGATTGTTAGGTGACTGGTTGGCTAGATGTGGGGACATTTTAAGTCTTTTTTTTTTTTTAAGATTTTTATTTATTTATTTTTAGAGAAAGGAGAAGGGAAAGAGAAAGGAAGGGAGAGAAACATCAATGTGTGGTTGCCTCTCACATGGCCCCCACTGGGGACCTGGCCTGCAACCCAGGCCTGTGCCCTGACTGGGAATCGAACCAGTGACCCTTTGGTTTGAGGGTCTGTGCTCAATCCACTGAGCTACACCAGCCAGGGCTTAAGTCTTAACTTCATACCAAAATAAAATCTGAGCTGGGTTAAACAGTTAATTAAAAAACAGATTGAGCTCTGGCTGGTGTGGCTCAGTGGTTGAGCGCTGGCATGCAGAACAGGAGGTCGCTGGTTCGATTCCCCGTCAGGGCGCAAGCCTGGGTTGCAGGCCAGTCCCTGGTTGGGGGCATGCAATCAGTGTTTCTCGCATACATTGATGTTTCTCTCCCTCTCTTTCTACCTTCCTCCCTCTCTCTAAAAATACATGCATAAAAATTAATAAGTAAATTAAAAAATAAAAAACATATTGAGGCAATAACCCTAAGTTTCCAGAGCCTTTAGAAGAAAAGGGAAGTGAACATCAGCTCTGAAGCAGAAAAGTACATTTAAAAAAACTGAGTCCCTAAGGGGTATATTGCTCACATTAAAAAATTTACAAATTTCTGTATGTTCCCTCTGAAAAATAAAAGGCGATGTAAATGCTACAAGTTGAAGGAGTTAGTAATATACTACAACTGATTAGAAAAAAACTGAGGCCTCAATGTTCAAATGACTCAGTTCAAAAAAGAACTGTAACCTGATCAATAACTGCATGAAAAGTATTTCTTCACCTATCACATCAGCAGTAATTTTTAAGAACGATAATTACTCAATACTGGTAAAGGCAAGTTGTAACCCTGCCAACAAATCCATAAACTGTTCTGATCCTTTTGGAAAATAATTTGGTAATGTGTGTCAAGGTTCTTCAAGTAATTTTCCTTCTGAGAACCCATTCTAGAAATGTAGTAGCCATGAGGGAGCACCGTGTGTGTGTGTGTGTGTGGGTGTGGGTGTGGGTGTGTGTGTGTATGTATTTCTCACCCAAGTATATGTTTATTGATTTTAGAAGAGAGGGAAAGGGAGGGAGAGAGAAACATCGATGTCAGAGAAAATATCGATCAGTTGTCTCCCATACGTGCCCCAACTGGGGATCGAACCTGCAACCTAGGGATGTGCCCTAACTGGGTGTTGAACCTGCAACTCACAACGCTGGGTATACGTGACGACACTCCAGCCAACTAAACAGTGCAGCCAGGGCAAGCATCACGTTTTTTTAACTTTTAAAATACACGCACCATAAAACCCGTCACTGAGCCGCTTCTGAGCGCACAGCCCGGCGGCACTAAGTACATCCGCACCGGTGCGCAGCCGCCACCGCCCTCCCCCTGCAGAACCCTCTTCCTGCCGCAAACAGACCCTCTCCCAACGAAGACGCACCCCCATCCCCTCCCCAGCACCCGCACCCACCACCCTACTTTCTGTTTACGTAGTTGGGTCTTTCAGGGACCTCGTGTAAGTGGAATCATACAGGATCTGCCCTCCTTGGAGAGGGTTACTCCTCTCCACGGCATGTCCTCCAGGTCCGGAATAAAATCCCATTCGTCCCTCGGTGGACACTGCTGTGCTTCTGCCTTCCGGCTGGTGGAAGCGATGCTGTTGCATCACGGGTGTACCAACACCTGTTCAAGTCCCTGCTTTCGGTTCTTCTGGGCGCGTCCCAGGAAGGGGCGGCGCTGAATCAGACGGCAATGCTGCCTCCGATTTCCCGACGAGCCGCCCTGCAGCTCTCTGCAGAGGCAGCACACTGTGCGTGCACCCCCCCCCCGCCGCCCCCCCCAACAGTGCGCAAGGGCTCGGTCTCGGCACGCCCTCGCCGAGGCTTGCTCTTCCTTTCCCCTCTCCCCGGCAGCAGCCACCTCGTGGGAGCGAAGCGGCGTCTCACTGTGGTTTTGGTTTGCGTTCTCCTAACGGTGAACGATGCTGATCCTGATTTCACCCGGCTTACTGGCCACCTGTGTGCTCTCTTTGGAGAAATGTCTATGCGAGCCCTTTGCACGTTTTAAAATAGGATTACGTCCTTGTTTTCTCATTGTTGACTTGCAGGAGCTCTTCATAATTTCTGGATACCGACCCCTTATCAGTAAGTGATTTCCAAATATGTTCTCTGCCCCGTGGGCGGCCTTCCACTTTCCGACTGTCTCCTCTGACGCACGAGGCTCTGCACTTCGACGCAGTCCAGCTCGTCCTTTTCGTGTTGCCGCCGCCTCCTGTGCTTTCGGCGTCACATCCGAGAAGCCACCGACGAATCCAGCGCCACAGAGCTTTACCTCTATGTTTTCCACTAAGATTTCATGGTCTTGGCGCTTATATTTAGGTCTCCTGTCCCCTTTGAGACATTTTTTGTGTGTGGTGTAAGCTCAGGCCCAACTTTATTCTTTTGCATGTGAGCATCCAGTTCTCCCCAAACCACTTCTCGAAGAGGCCGTCCTTGCGCATGCGGGGGCACCCTTGCTGAAGACCATTCGACCGTGAGTTTATTTCTGGGCTCTCTGTGCTACTCCGTTGTTCTACGTGTCTGTCTTCACCCCGATACCATGCTGTTTTGATTACTGTGGCTTTGCAGTGAGTTTTGAAATCAGGAAGTATAAAACCTCTAACTTTCTTTTTCAAGATGGCTTTGGCTATCAGGGTCCCTTGAGAGTCTATGTGAATTTTAG